TAAAATAAAGCTTACTCGCACCGTCCTGTGATACAGTACATTCTAAGAATTTTAAGAAAAATTTAAGAAAGAACATAAAAGACGCTTGTACCCTCATTTTATTTTCAAATCAGACACTACCGTCAACATGATTCATAGTAATTGGTTCATAAATGAAAAATATTTAATGCAAAACTGGTTTTTGTTTTTTAGAATGCATTATATTTTAGGAAAAATTTTAAATGGTAGAATGCACTATATTACTAGATGGAGAGAGTATATCTTATTACAACATGATATAACCAATGATCCAACTAATAAAATCGTAAAATCCTTAACATTTTGCTAACTAGTTTAGTCTAGATAAATATGGCTAAGAACTTTATGCATGTACCGGTGGAATACACAACAAGGACTACCATGTGGAAAATCTATAGAGGTCTTTTATTGTAATTATCAGCAAACAAATCAATCATTAACATGTTGACAATTAACTCCTTGCCGACTATAATAAAAATAGAATTACAAAATTTTATAAGCCCACAAAGAAGTCACAAGGAACTAGACGTTTAACCGTACCAACGTATGTATAGTATGAAATTAAAGCTATGATATGATATCTTTATAAGTAAATATGTTTGTGTTTTACTGACGTAAGAAGAAAACTATTAAGATTGTATTTCATATTTGATACATACTTAATAAGGCATTATGATATCATTGCCAACATTAGCTTATATATTATTGGTGTTGTAGCACGTCATCGTAAATAAACTGTAGCTTTAGAATTTATAGAAAAGATAAAACAAAAAATAGATAAGTTTCTATCATAAATGTTTGATAGCCTTTTTTTTTCTTCCGTTACAACATTACGGACATATTTGCTAGTAAATAAATAATAGAAAACTATCTAGATTATAAATAAATAAATAATAGAAAAGTAACTGCATACCACCTTACCGCATTTTATATGATCTATACCTATATAACAAAAAAAAAATCTATTCAACCAGTAATTAACACCTTGTAGTTCACGGGACAAAAGAAGTGTAAACACGGCGTTGCATATACTAGATTAATATGTAGATATTATATATAATATCAAAATATATAATGTCCATGTTAGACATGCACCCATGCATATAGAGAGTCTGATTCAAAATGAGATAAATAAATAAATAATAGAAAAGTAACTGCATACCACCATACCGCATTTTTATATGATCTATATAACAAAAAATTCTATTCAACCAGTAGTTAACTCCTTTATAGTTCACGGGACAAAAAAAGTGTAAACACGGCGTTGCGTATACTAGATTAATCTATAGATATTATATATCATATTAATATATATAATATCCATGTTAGACCCCTCGGTTCGGACGCTTCCCGCCGATCCATTATGGGAGATGGCTCGGGGCTTCTAAATAAGACCTTGGCCGGCTTGGAGAGGTACTGTTGCACATTTTCATTGGCAATACATTCTAGTGAGCTAAGAAAAACCTCTCCTACTCATCTGCTTGCTTGAGATTGCGAATCAAAGTGACATTGAGTGAATTCAAGTGCATTTTCTTGTGAGATTGTATCTAGTGGCACTTGGTGGTTGACTTGGCTGCAGTTTTCTTGTTACTCTTGGTGGTTGCCGCCACCTAGATGGCTTGGAGCAGCTTGGAGGTGTTGGCAAGTGTTGGTGATTGTTCTTGGCCACACCCGGTGATCTTTGTGAGGGGTTCATGGGCCTATTCCTCGGCAGAGCGCCAAAAGCCACTCTAGTGGATTGCTCGTGTCATTGAGCTACCTCACTTGTGGTAGATTCTTGTGGTGCTCAAGTGTTGAGCTCGGTGTGGTGCCGATTAGCCACCAAATCACCAAGTGCTGGTCGACACATCGGGGACTAGCGTGCCGGCAAGCACGTGAACCTCGGGATAAAAATCGTTGTCTCCCATGTGTTGATATTGTGATTGATTGATTCCATTCTTGGTGATTGGCTCATTCATTGGACTTCATTGGTGATCCCGAAGGCTCGGTGAAACTCACTCTATCTCTTGTATTTACATTCCTAGTATACTTGTGTAGAGTTAGTTTTGCTAGTGTAGCTAGTTGAGTAGTTTAGCTTCTTTAGCTGTAAAGTAGCTCTCTAGCTAGGCTAAGTAGTGACATAGCTCTTGTGTGTGCCATAGAGATCATAATCACTAGAATTGTTGGATAGGTGGTTTGCAGCCTTTGTTAGAGCTAGTGCAAAAAGATTCACTATTTAATTATCTAACAAAGTTGCTTAGTGCTTTGTAGAATTTTTAATAGGCTATTCACCCTCCCTCTAGCCATATTGGACCTTTCACGGTGGAGGCGCGCCGAGGTCATTAGACGAGGCCTCGAGTCGGAGAAGCGTAACCTCCCCCAAACTAGGGAGGCCACGAAGGGGTCAACATCGGGGTTGAGGGAGCTTCATCAACCTCATCCGCCCAGGAGCAGCGGGAAGGAGAACCCCGTTCCATGGCAGGGGAAGGGGGAAGTGGGGGGTGGTTGGGCGCTGGGAAGGGGGAGGGTTGGGGGCGCCGGGGCCACGGCGGCCGGAGGCGAGGGCTTGGTGGACGCGGGGCCGGGGTGGCCACCGGCGGTGCGGGGTGGGGCTCCTTACCTTCCCTCAGACGTTTGGTCAAACTGATGGGCACCGGTAAAACAGTAAAACAAATGTATTTACTGTAGGACAGAAATGGCATGTGCTAGGTCACCTTTTGGCATGTAAGTCACATGATCAGCTGCCACACAAGCCCCCCTCCCTCCATAGCGTAGCGTTTTAAACCAAATGCGAGTTTTACTCTACTTCCTCCCGCCAGATTATAAAGGCTCAGGAATCGACAAACCTTTCTGGACCCCGCATACGCTGATACGGTGATGTTGAAGAAGCACAAGCACGGGAGCCAGAGCAGAGGAAGGTAAAACTAAAGCACGTCTTGTTGCAATAGGACTGCCTACTAAGAAGATGGAAGTAATCTGTACACCAAACACGAGAGAGGCACCCATTATGTTTTGCTGTATGTTCCGAATGGCGTGGAATGCAAAACTTGAAAATTTGGGTTTGAAAACTGCGATGCTCTATGGATGATGAATGTTTTGTGTGCGATCGTCGTAGGGAACAACCACGTGACCGACGCATGTATTACTCAACTCAAGAAAGAGATGCATATGCAACGTTACGGCTTTTCACGGTTAGCTTAATTGGGGCCTCATTCGTCACCATTTGAATGCCATATACAAGCTATGTGTGAGATTTCTTTTTTCGAAAATATGTAGCCACGTGCAAAACTATATGTAACTGGACAAGGGTGACATGTCAGTGCCACCAATCCCAAGCAGATTCCTTCCGATGGGTAAAAGAAAAAAAAAGGACGTGTGCAGCATGGAAAGATCACACGTAGGAGCCATATCAGGAGGGTGGAAATGGTGGCGACACGTACACTTGTTACTATTCCTCTAGCAATACTGCACGTTAACTAGTTACTTTTACTGTTGCATGCTGAAGTAGAGCCGTCGGGTCACATTCTGGACGGGATGCATGTCGCTGCATGTCTCTAGTACTGCTATACGTAGCGGACAGCGGTAAGGGGTGCGAGCCTGGAGGCTCGCATGTATGTGCTGTGTGTTTGCTTTTCTCCCGCCAATGCAACCGGCTTTTTCTTTAAGAAGGTGCAGTGCACGTATCTCTGCGAACGAATACAACCTTCGGCATCTCGATTCTCGATCGCACGTCCTTCTACTGCGCGTGACTAGGGTGCACAGTGATGTACTTACATCGCTCATTCGCTATAAGATGCTGAGCGCGGCCAGGGACACCGTGTCATTCCGCCGGTGCATTCGACATGGATGGAGAACGAAAGAGTCGTAGAACAAAGACATAGCATTTGCAATTTGGCATGTGATGGTCCGAAAAGCGCGCGCTGACGAGGATATGCGTGTGCCGTCCCTCCTCCATCACGCCAGGCCATGTAGCAAACGATTTATAGCACAATGCCTTGATTCTGGTCGCGAGGTCCATCCGATTGACCTTTGAATGCCGTACGTCTCTCCATGAACTTCCTATATATGCCATCATCATGCAGAGAGGAGATATATTAGACTTCGGTATCGCATTTGGGCATCATCAGCTAGTACTTGGATCTTGTTTTCCTTTTCTCTGTTTCTCTCTCCCCTTTGGCCTAAGTGCCTTGCCCGAGGGCTTGTATGACTCTGTTCGGCACCTTTGGTGCCCTGCTTCCTCTTCCTGATTTAACCGACCACAGTATATTCGTTGCTTTCGGGGGAAAAAAAATAAAGATCTTCAGCTCCATGGTGAGAAAACACGCAACGGAGAAGTGATGTTGTGATCGCACATCACACTGAGGGCATACTGCATAACCCCATGACTGATGATCCCCGAGTTCGTTTCCATGGATCCGGTTGGGAGAAATCAAATCGCTTCCGAACCAGTACGTACTAGTACTAAGCTACTGATGTGTTGTGATTTTGCTGATGTCATGTCTCACGCGACAGGTAACGTTTCAATATTGTTATATGTGGGGAATAACATTTATTGTCCGGTGGATCACATGTATTCCGTTTAGTTCGGGGTGAAAAGTTTTTGGGTGTCACATCGATGTTTTATGGGACGTTGGAAGGGGTTTTCGGATACTAATTAAAAAATTAATTACATAACTCGTCTGAGAATTGCGACACGAATTTATTAAGCCTAATTAATCCGTCATTAGCATATTTGTTACCGTAGTACTTTAGTGTCAAATCAAGGATTAATTAGGGTCAAAATATTCATCTCACAATTTACACGCAAACTATACAATTAATTTTTTATTTCATCTATATTTAATACTAAGTTTTTGCAACTAGCCAATATTAATATGCTCGGCGGCCAGTCAGCTGGTAAACCGTGCATGCATGCAGTCCTACTCACATCAAGCATTTTCTCATTCATCACTGCCCACGCTATACCTCTCTACGTGGCTGCTAGGCCTGGCAGGCAAGCGCCCATGCCTCTGACCGCTCGCCTCCCTGCCCCTACTTTCCTCGCCCTATCATTCTTCTTTCCCCTCCCCTCCTCCACTCTCTGTTGTTTAGCAAGCAAGACCAGACCAAGAACCAAGCCCTTTTCCTCTACTCCCCCCTCATGCTGCGGAGAGAGGCCGTCGGCCGCCGCTTCCGGCCGCCGCTTTGGCGTGCCCTGCCGCCGACACGTCCCCCCAGGACTACTGCCATTGATGAAAAATCCCATCCCTTGCCACCGCCGCCAGCAGCAGCCGAATAAGCCCTCTCAAATTCAAGAAAAGGGTGTCATTTTGGGCTTGGGAATGCTCACCCGCCTCTGGCTGCCAGTGTGCCGCGCCGTTCCGGCCAGGCGCGCCCGCGACGTCGGCATCCGGCATGTGGCTGACGACGGTGGAGGTCCTCCATCTGCTGGCCTTCTGCCCGCCGGTCACCGTTCCACTGCAGTGGCGCCACCACCAGGGTCCGATCCACGTCCTCCTGCTGGCATGCAACGGACTCCGTCCACTCCGGCGACGCCGCCAACCTACTCCAACTTCAATGCCGCCGGCCGCTCCGAACCCCCGTCGGCACGTCGCCCTGGAGTGCCGGAGGACACACTCCCTCCTCACCAGCGTCGCCGCCCCGAGCAGCAGCAGCAGAAGCCGAAAAGAAGCGACCTTTTTGCCTCGGCGTCGGCGATGCTGCGGCTGGGGATGAAAACGGCGGTACCTCACCTCCGGCCGCCAGCGTGCCGCACTGTTCCGTTGCTGACCGGTGGAGGCCCTCCATCTGCTGGCCTTCTGCCTGCCGGCCACGGTTTGACACCGGCGACACCACCCGTCTCTCCTTCGGTTGGACTCCTCTTCAACTTCCACGGCCCTTGTCCTCGTCTTCCTGCTGGGCCTGGCACACCATGGACTGGCCGCCATCTCCTGGCGCCTCACTGTCCGGTGATAAGGATCAGGCGTCATTTGCAGTTAAACATGATGGTAAGTTCTATTCTCTGATCATAGATATTTTTTACACCTTGTGAACTTCTTTAACCCACAATGAACTTTTGGATTTTATCCTGATGTTACATTCATGTAACTTAGTTTTTCCTGTATATCATAGATATATGAATCGGAATTGCTAAAAGACACTCGTATGTTTTATGGCCTTTGGGCACTCGAATTTTTTTTTGTCTCAGATGACTTTGAGATTAGTGCTCAAGAAGGTAACTATCTGAGATAAAGGAGAATTCGTGTGTTGCTTGACTCTCCAACACTTGAATTTCTACTTGCACCTTAGTTACAATCAATTTATATCAGAGTTACACTAGATATTTGGGTGTAATTTTCAAGTATGGGTGGTGTAATTAAAAATTCGGGTGTTTGTAGTCCCTAATAGCACCTGATTTTGTTCCATTACTCCCATGTAGGATCTAATCTAAGACATTTATCTCAGTTTGTGTTGGTTAAAAATTCAGGTGTAAGGTCCTCCCAAAACACCCGGAGTGTTCTATAGACAACTCCTATATGAATCCTTAATTGCAACTGAAGTCGTTTAATGAGATTTTCATTTATCTATTTGCTATTTGCTTTTCGATTAGAATTACTCATAAAACTTTTAGGCTTAAGATCGATCAGAACTCATAGGTGTATTTTTTATTTATGGTCAAATTTCACACAATATTCGGGATTGAAAAAACTTAATCCTGTTTTACCTATCGTATAGATAGCCCTATTTGATATGTTTCTTGTTGTTTATTTACTTTACCTTCGTCTATTCATAGGGAACTCAGCCAACAAAGCGGTTGCTAAGCACATTTTCAGATCCAGTGACAAAAGGGATTAACCTGTTGTCAGTAGAGGAATGCGAGAGTGCTAGGGATGAAATGTCATCCGGCATAGAAGATGTCGTGGACAAGATTGCATGCCTTGAGGGTAACCTCCAGAACTTAAGTGCAAGCTATTTGAAAGAATTACTGCAGCATGTCTTAAAAGAGTGCAAGAAACACCAGTCGAAGGAAATGTTAAAGAAGTTATACTACGAGAAGATTAGACCTGCACTAGTTGCACGTGTTCTTTTATCACCTTATTCTCTCAGTGACCATAGGGGCATCAAGTTGCTTGAAGAGTATAAGAAACATGTAACAGATGCTAAGTATTTGACAAGTATCGACTTGATGGAGGCGATGATAAACATGACAGAGTTATATTGGAGCATCTTCTTGGATTTCCTAAGTGAAAAAGGATGTTTGGTAATTGAGGATTGGGATAACTCCTTAGGTGCCTCATTCGGGACTACTCTCTATAAGCGTGGAGTCACTTTTGATGGCTCCCCGCTATATAAGGGAGAGTGTGATGCATCTTTTCTTGAGGATAAGAATAACAAGAAGAACAGTAAAGCTTGATATGCATCGCTATATGGACGAGCACTAGTGAGATATTATCGAGTATTGTTATCAAAGATTATCCATGCGAGGATTCTATCGAAGCGAAGCAATGGCGATGTTTCTACTTCTCAAGGAAGGTATCAGATTGGGTTTACATCTGCACCCCTTTGAAGTTTGTTCAGATTGTCAATTAGTGTTCAATACACTTTGGGGAGCTCATCGAATTGATCTAGATGATAGGAATGCTGATCTTTTGAAGTTGCTAAAGTATATGAGGAGGTATTACACAAGTTTGATCCCCCGAATGGCAGCAAAGGGAGAAGATGTTTTGGGTTGATGGCTTGATGAGGGTAATGAAGTTAGAAGGACCTGACACTAATGTGGACCTCCGAAGCCTTCTGAAAAAGGTGAAAAGTTACCTTAGTGGGAAGCCGCTGTTTAAATTCACGCAAAAACAAGGCTCCTTCAACAGTTTGATTAAGAAAAGTAAGAAACTAAAATCTTTACCTCAATGGTTTTATTAATTTTATTCTTTACCTCAATGGTTTTATTAATTTTATTCCTAACCTTTTGGTTAACATTAATGGTATAAGTTGCTCCCTAATTGGTCTCTTTCTTTCTTTTTCTTGGTACAGTTAGTTTTGAAACTAATCACTCTTATTTCTTGCAGTAAGGGAGGAGTCAAGGCAGTCAAGTCTTCTAGACTCGCAGCAGTCAAGTCCTCCTCTAGACTCGCAGCAGTTAAGTCCTCTGGACTTGCACCAAAGATACCAGTCAGAAGTTGAAGAAAAGGATAAAGCAGATATATTGTCCCACATTATTACAGCATTGAGACCGTCCAAGGTTTTTATTGTGATGAAGGAATCTCAGTCTGAAGCTAGAAGTAAGATCTTGAAAATGTATGAGGACTGCAGAATTGAGGAGACTAGTGAAGACAGTGAGAACTGTAGAATGATTATCTTAAATGTCGAGCACAGAACCATATCTAAAACTGCCAAGAGAGACTTGTGGATCAGTTTTGATTCATCGATTCCGGAAGGACTGTTCCAAAACAAGTCAGATTCGTTAATGGTTTTTTTTAAGAACGCCAAGTGAGAAACATGTTGGAACCAAGATTCCAGAACTGAACCCAGTCAGCTTCGTCTCATTTCATAACAGTAAGTGATGTTTATTGCTGTTTTTTTTAATTTCAATGGTGTTACATGTTATCTGACTTTTTGACTTTTCTCTGGTTCCTGCAGAAGAAAAGAAGAGAAGGTATGTTTTAGCCAATATTCGATGTGCCTTAGTCCTTGAGCAATTAAAAGGAATTACACGATGGTTATGTCCATGAATTTCATGTTGTTTATCATTGCAGCCCCATCCTAACACTAAGTGGTCTCAAAGCTTTGACAAGCTGTTCATAGTAGTTGAGTTGCCTGAGGCAAAGGATATTATGCTGGATTTGAAGCCTGAGGGCCATTTTCACTTCTCTGCAATGGGAGCTGATGACATGCCATACGAGCTTGACCTCGAGCTATTTGACGCTATTAACCTTGAGGTTGGTTTAATTGTTGACTGGTTCTACCTTCTGGGTACATACTACATTCTGATTATATAGGTTTTGCTGTTTGCAGGAGATAAAAAAAATAGTTGGAGTCAAAGACGTCGCTACCTTCTGAAGAAGGCTGATAGCAAGTGGTGGCGAGGCTGCTGAAGAAGGAGGGCAACCCCTGTTTTCTTGAAGATCGACTCGTTAGGTATCTGACAAAAGCATTATGTGATGATTCATGAAAGATTTTCATGGTGTTTTGTATCTGCAGAAGCTGGATATCAGAGCTGCAGCTTCTGATCTTCAGAATGATGAAAACGAAGTGATGAACGAAGCTAATGAAGTTCGGTCAGAAAAAAAAAAAAGCTAATGAAGGTGCGCCATTCTCTCCTTTTCATCTATGGTGTCCAGAATGAAGAATAGAACTAGAAAACTGGCGCGGCGTTGCCGTGCCCCCACCTGAATAGTCCAGTTCCATCGTTGCAGAACTTCATGTACTTGCAGAACAACAAAGGAATGTGCTGCTTAGCGAAATCGTGCATAGATACGTGTACAACAATAGAGATGCAAAATAATGCATGGTGATTTTATACAGCAAACAACTGTTGCCATCCGGAGATTACTCTTTCTTCTACTGCTATGTATCTGATTTTGACATTGCAGCTGCTATTAAGATAATGTCAAATGACTGAACCAAAGGAGTGTAGATAGTGTTGATACCCTAGAATATGTTTTTTACTTTATTACCCTAGAACCAAGGTGAGCTAGCGCTGCGCGCAGTGTCGCGGGCGACGGGAGGGCACAGGGTTCGCGAAGGCTTTGTGCGGGCAAGCTGGACGGCCAGATCAACGGCTCGATCGACAGTGGCTCGGGAATCCGACGGTTAAGAAAATATAGGCGACGTGGCCCAATCATATGCTCGAGCTTGGCTCAGGATTCAAAAGGAAGAGATGTAGTGGTAGGCAAGTGATTCACTAGTTGGGGTCTTGGGGAGGAACCTGTTCCTGGATTCATGCTTCAAGATGGACATGTATTAGAACTACAATGCAGAACTGGAGATTCTAGTGTGTGGGTTATCTAACTATTGGAATCCTGTTAATAGAACATTTGTATCTTGAAGCTCTGAAGAGCATATGGCAGAGCAGCCTTTGGTTTTAGCACTTTAGATGGCATTTGTTATAGTGGTATGTTTAGCCAGTTCTTCTAATCAGAGTCTATAAATACTTGTACGACCTTTTCAAGCCCCATCAAGAATAATCCACTCTGAAAATTGACCTAGACAGCAACTAGATTTATCGTTGCCTTTCATGCTTGCGTGTAGCTGCAGCCGCAATAAGTCACGGCTTATGTCGATTTGTATACAATGTTGCGAAGAGTCCTGGGTCTATCAAGTAGTTTTTTTCTGGTCAGGTCATGTGGTTTTCTTCTTTCCTTGGTGATCTACTTTTCATGATCTTGAGGTCTACTCAATGATAAGAAATCTTCTACGTATGTAAGAGAAAGTTGTTTTGCCCTTGAAAACCATTTCAACCTTGACTGGCTGTCTCCATCCATTTTCCGCTATACACCCTACAAGTTATGTTCATTTCATGACTCAGCTGACCATATTTTTCGAAAATGTGCAGATGTGGGAGGAAGTATGGTGGAGCAGAGTAAGGGGGAGGAAGCCCCGACAGGAGCTGCAAAGGAAGAGAAGCCATGAGGAGCTTCAAATGATTGTTTATATGTTCCATGGCTTGAACAACCATGTGAAAAACCTGCATGGTATTTAGCCATATCTTCCCTGACATTTTTTGTTGTAAAACATGGAGAATGGTCAGAAATGGTGCTGACTGGCTGAACCTAGTACTTCCATGAATCATTTGTATCAAAGTTTATTTGTACACCGTACAAGGTCATCAGCTGTTTCTGTGACGTCATGGTGATATTTATTTTAGCTGTTTTGTGATGATGACTGTGCCGTGCTGTTTAGAGAACAATTTTGTTCATATTGCGGAGACTTAGACTTGATGTGGCTGAACTTCATTACTCTGTGAATCATCCGTGAACTACATGGTTTTCCTGATGAGTGAGGGTGATGTGCATTCGGCGGCACCTTTGATCCTATATTTGAATTTTATTAGAACTTCGTATAAATTTCACATGAATCCTGAATCCAAATTGGGGCCAGACTAGGAGTAGCGAATGGTCTGTGTGATGTGCAACGTCCCATGCCCAGCACTAGTTCTGTTCCTTTATCAAAATGTTCACGTCAAACAGCATGTCTGCTGTGTTCAGAAAGAATTAAGACCTTTTCGATGCGGTTATCCCAGAACAAATGTCCTTCTTGATATGTAGGCTAACATGAATTATGGTGGTTTCACATTCCCCCCCCCCCCATTTCAGTTTGTTTCGAAGTCCTAAAGCACTAAGGAGAGTCAAAAGGATGTCAAGTTTGAGGATTTTTAATTTAAGATTTACAAATATTTGTAACATGCAAATTTTGTATTGCATGTTAATGAACCTAATCCAGCATCATGTGTATCATTTAATCATGTCCATTGCATAAGTAAATGCAATCGTAATTTAAACTCAAATTAATAAATTAAATTGGAAAACACACCTTCTTAAGTAACTTCAAAATTTTGAACATAAATTATGATGGAAATTAATTTCATAAATAGATGTTAAAAATGAATTTTAATGAATTTTCACATATTTTTAGGAATGTTTTGATGCTTCTATAATTCAAACAAAGCTAACCACATATACAACTTTGAAGAATTTTAGTTAAATATCTACTTCATCTTTTGGATTGGTTCTTGTACAAATGGATTCAGCGTCATCTATTTTTTTAATCCATCAAATTTGTATGATCTTTGGATCTTCCTATGTCCATGTTTCGGATTTTTGGAAGACATAAGAAGTTGTCGATGCGGGATCCACGGGATACCCCGCAAGGAAGAGAGAAGATCTAGTCTAACTAGGATATCTTCCCATGTAATCCTAGTAGTAGTTCTACCCTGTAATCTTACTAGGACTCTACATTGTAAACCGACTAGGACTCTTGTCTCCTGGACTATATAAAGGAGGGCAAGACTCCTTAGATCGGTAAGATAGAAAGTAAAAAGTCCAGAGGAGAAGGTCTAAGGACAATTGGAACATATACCAATCAATCCAACGCAAAAGGCTAACGCCGACTGGACGTAGGGCTATTACTCGATCACGGTCGAGGGCCCGAACCAGGATAAATCGACTGTCTCTTGCGTTAACCGCCGAGTTCTGCATACGCCGAAGCCCGAACAACTGTCCCGGGTACCCCCGTGGCAGGCTATCGGTGGTAAAACATTGACAGCTGGCGCGCCAGGTAGGGGCTTTCGGCGGATTTGCATCCGAGAGCTCGATGGACCTCGACAACATGATATTCTCAACAGGATCAACTTTCATCTTCGGATAATGGATCTGTGAGGCGGACGACGACGGCAAGCTCTAAAACCGTCTCCTCGAAGATTCAGATCGCCATGAAGACCTCGCTATTTCGACGACTACAATAGATCAACTCACCGAAAGACTCACGCAGCTCGTGATGTCGGATCTGACTCAGACTTCGTGGCCAACCGCATCCCACTCAGGCTCAGGTTCCGCATCCGAGATGGAGTCTTACCCGAGTTCTTTCCACAATAGTCCGAGTTCTTTTTCGATGGGGCTCCGGAACGCGGCATCAACCTATCAAGAATTCAACTCGGAGAACATTCAGAGTTCTTTCAAGAAGTCTGGTCCTTTTCCGTTTGGGCTCCATAACATGGCAACATCTTATCAGGCACAACTCGAAAGATCTATCGATCCGGTGCTAAAAATGCCACTAAAAGGAGCTCAGGAAGGCCTCGTACTAACTATAACATCTCAAGACTGCATCGTCCACTGGCCAGGCTCTGTTCCTGAGGATAACAGTACCCTGCTAGTCGACACGACAACGACAATGGTTCTACCCTACCAAGAAGGAGACTCAATCTACGACCCTAAAGCCTCTAATGAAGTTCTCAACAACTCTGACAGCGTGGAAGCCGACGTCAATAACAGAACACTTCACGCACGAGAAGTATTCATGGTTCGCCGTCCCTGATCACCGTTGGCCCCTCCAGAAGCACCCGACATCAGGTCATCGGATGAATCCGAATCCAACATATCACCCTTTACCTAGTGGCACGATGGTGAAACCGAGAGCCAGAAACAAGCCAGAGAAAGAAGAAACAAATTGAAACAAGGACGCCAACGCCGCGCCAGGCAGCGCAAAGAAGCTTGGATCAGATATGAGTCAGATCTGGCCGAGTACAATAGAAGAAAATCAGAGCAAGAAGCCGAATAAAGACGCACGGCAAAAATACCCTACAATAGGATCCGAGAAGCACTAGAAGAACTCGGAGCAATCTCACATCCCAATGAAGAACAAGAACAGCTCCGGGATATTCTCCGATCAACAGCCTTAAGAACACATGACGGAAGGTCCCGCTCGAGGCTACCCGCCAGGTCAACATCTCACAGACAGGAAGATCAAAATCAAAGAAAGTCCGCTTTCGAGAGACTTGGGCCAAGCGGAAGTCACACCAGAGAAAGTAGAAGAGACCATAGTCAAAGCAACCGAGTCGAACAACCGAAGGAGATTAGAAGCAGAGCACCCATCGGCACCCTAAAGGAAATCACACCATCGGAGATTGCTACACCTTCATTAATCGATACACGAGAAAAGATAATAAGGGGGACAACAAAGAAGACAATCAGAAAAAAGATGAAGACAACCATGAAGATAAGAGATTCCAAAAATCCAAGGAGACAGTAGCAGTGATCTTTTCTGGGATCCCGGGTTCTAGAAGCAAGCATCAAGACAAGCTGGCTCTACGGACCATCATGGTAGCAGAACCGGCTACTCCAAGATACCTCAATTGGTCGCAGTATCCAATCCAGTTTTCAAGGAAAGATCAATGGACTAGTGTAGGGAACGCCGGCCACTACCCACTGGTTTTAGATCCAACTATCGTCGGTATGACCGTCACAAAAGTGCTAATCGACGGGGGAGCCGGACTCAACATCATTTTTTCAGAAACACTAAGGAAGATGGGACTACAACTCGTCGGGATGATTACTCCAACAAGTGTCCCTTTCTATTGGATAGTACCCGGCAAGGCAGCCATGCCACTTGGACAAATCACTCTACCAGTTACTTTTGGGACTCCCTCAAACTACCGTACAGAGTTTATCAAATTTGAAGTTGCAGACTTCGAATCATCATATCACGCCATCCTTGGACGTCCAGCACTAGCAAAGTTCATGGCGATACCACATTACCTGTACCTATTGCTTAAGATGCCAGGTCCCAACGGTGTTCTTTCTCTCTGAAGTGATCTGAAGCGTGCCTTCGACTGCGATGTTCAGGCAATTCAAATTGCGGCCAAGGCACAAGCCGCCAGCGGAAGGGAAGAAATAGCCACTATTGCTACAGAAATGAACCCAGAAGAACTAGAGATCCCGGCTAAGAGGCCGAGCATCCTTGCACCACCAAAAGAAGCCGACGTCAAGCAAATCGACCTAGGCACCGGTGATCCCTCCAGGACGGCAACCATCAGTGCACACCTCTCGGCAAAATAGGAACTCGAGCTCACCAACTTTCTTTGGGACAACAAAGATATCTTTGCTTGGAAGCCGGCCGACATGCCAG